CCAGGGGGGAGTGAGTGAGTGGCTGTGTGGGGCTGAGTTGCCGGCTAGGGTTAAACCATGACAATAAGTTATGTAATTGGAAAAGTTAATTTCATTTCAGAATTAAAAGCCAATGAATGGCTAGAAGTTTCTACGTATAAGATACGTGATTATTATTTAGAACAAGGCAATGCTGGTATGCATTAACAGACTATAAATAATTTTGTTTAGAAATTAAATGTCACTTTAACTAAAATGTAGAAGCTTGTATTTGGCAAAATGATCTGATGCCATAGCAACAGATGACAATTACAAGCCGCTTTCGGGAGTTGCCCGCATTCCTTCTCCCCCAGCCTATCCATATCCGTGGTGCAAGAGATGAATTCTGACCTCTGTTTTCTAACCTTCCTTGAAAGAAACATACCCCCCTTCTTGCAAAGTAAGAAGCTCCAGTTCTACATCACTTGAAAGAAAACCAAAAGTGCATCTGTGCGGTGGACGTGCTACTTGCTTATGTACTGTTATTGGAAGATAAGTTTTGCCTCAAACTGTATTTCAGATCAGACTGACATAATACGGGAGCATATTTATGGATTATATTTTAATTTGAAATAATTTGCTGTATTTTTTTTTAGATTCAACTATAGATTGATGTAGTCACTGAGCTTTTAACAGTTTAAATGCTGTTTAAAAAAAACCCCAATAACACTAAGTGTATTAAGCCAAATACAGCTGCCAAAACTGAAATATTCAGCTTGCAAAGGAATGCATTTAGACAGCTGGAGAAACCACAGTGTGCTCATGTTTCTACTTCAATTCCAACTTGAGACATAAGTCTAGGAAACAGGATACCCATTTTTGTTTTTAATTTGTAGCCAACTGTTGGTTTATTTGCCCAGTGTTGAGATTTTTTTTTTTCTTAATGTGCTTGTAGTCTTATGTATCATGCTTCTTTTGTGGTACTTGTTGTTATAGTATCAGAGAAACAAGTATACAAGAAAATTGTAGCAGTACAAATTCTGTTGTACCCTCCATCTGCACTGACTCTACCAATGGAAATTTGTTTCTGAGTTCTCGCCCTTTTATCATAGGTCTCGGGACCTGTTGTAGCAGTTCTAAATTAGGATTTTCATTGTTGCTGCTAATTCTGATGTTGCTGGATTTTGTGTTTGCTGACCTTGGTCCTGTTGAGTCGCTTCAGTTCTAACTCAAAAGAATGTGCTACATCCAACTTCTCTCTAAAAGTATAAGAACAAAAAACATTTAACTCCTTAATAATTTAAGGACAAGTCTACTGGAACCATAAAATGTGAAATGTGTTGTGTATGTTTTAATTTGTAATTAAAGAAGCAATAATTGGAGTCTTAAAAGAATCAACTGAAATCTAACATTATACGCTTGTGCTATGTTGTAGTCTTGTAATTTCCAGACTATTTACTGAATTCTTCACATACTTTTCCTCTAATCAGTCTGTAATTACCATGTGGTATAATTAGATTAATATACTTTCATTTATTGCAGCTACCCATTAGAGGAAAATTTTGTACTTCGGCCTTTATATTTGTCCTATATGAATGACTACAGAATTCTGTACTTTCATTAAAGCAGCCTCAGCTTACTTAGGTGAAGAGCAATCAGTTTAATGATGCATGGATACTTTCATTCTCTTTATAAGTTTCTCAAGTGCTTAACTTCTTTTTTCCCTTTCTCTTTTTTCTTCTTAGATGATGAGTACCGATGGAAGGGGCCCTTCTACTTCATCCAAGGAGCAGATCCTCAGTTTGGGCTGATGAAAGCTTGGGCAGTTGGAGACACTAACAATGGAGATGATGAATGGGGAGAAGAAATCAAATTAACAGAGCAAGCAGTGCAGGCCATAAACAAACTAAACCCTAAACCCAAGTTCTTTGTGTTGTGCGGAGACCTCATCCATGGAATGCCAGGTAAGGCAATTAGAAGTGTAGAATGGGGATCGTAACTCCATTTTCTTTATATTTCAGATAGGCAACAAGGCTAATTTAGTTTCCTTGACTTCATAATATTCTTTCATAGGATTTGGTATGCTACTGTTTTGGTGTTTGGGAAAAAAGTGTGCTTTGTAGATGATTCTTGAGACGTTATTCTGATTTCTTCACCTGACTTCCTGTATCATTCATTTTAGGGGTGTACTTTTGTTAGTTAGTTGCTTTTTTTTTCAGTGGGCCTGAGGAAATTTTCTTTGAAATAGAAGTCCTAAGAAGACACATTAAAATTCTTTCTTCTAAACAAATTGCTTTGAGAAGACTCTAGCCATTGGGGGAAAAACAACGCCAAGAAAAGAGCAAAACATAGGTGTGGCTTTTTGAGTACCTAAAGTAGGTGAAGCTCAGAGAATTCTCTGGCTTTCTAATGCTTAATAAATTCAACTGCTTCAATATTTAAATTCTTAAAATGCTAAAAGTCAGCAAATTCAACTTTTAGCATTCTGTCCTGTTGCTGTGGGACTTGGAGATCGGTGTGTTTCTGTGTACAATCAGAGGAAGAAAAACAGACCATCTAGAAGGGTGGGTTACAAAGTTTCACAGTTAAAACTTTAAAACAGACTGGTAATATTTTCTATTTTAAGAAGATAAATAGTCTTCTTGGAAGTGAATGAAAAAGTGATGTTAGCAGTTGACAAGTGGTCTCAAAAGCAGATCTAAGCACAGTATCTTACATTTCTTAGCCTTGATAAGAAGCAGAGCTGCAGACAGCCTTGGCTATGTAGCTGAAAGCACAACAATCCACCAAGTGAGCTTGCAAATACAGTCCTGTGTGCTTTATGCTACGCTCTGCTTTGCACTCCACTTGCACCTGAGGTGATGCTTCCCAGCTCTTGTTTGCACAGGGAGGTTTTGAGCATGTTAGAGATCGTTCACTAATTCCTTCAGTGTCCTGAAAGTGGATTTTAAAACCTTAGCTGTCAAATTGGTTGATGTTATTTATAGGCTACAGACTTTTGACCAGAACATGATTTTAGTGATAGAGTGGGAAAGTGTAAAAACCAACAGATTTAAGCTTGATAGAATCTACTGTGTAAAACCTCAGTAGCTTGATCATAATGTAAAGCCTGCCATTATGCAGTTGTTTTATTGGTTTATGTTCTTCCATTAATTTTGGAAGTACAGGTTTGACCCAGAATCATAAAATAATCTCTTCCTAAAAATCATCTGGCTTTCCTATAGCAGAGTTTTAATAAGTATTTCGATTAGGACTTTTAATTTGTGTAAGTGTTCCAAATACGTTATCTTCAGCATCCCTTGTAAGAGGAAGAAAATTCAGGACAAATAATAGGTGTTCTACATCCTATTGAAAAGGGTCTTTCACTCACAAATTTAAATAAACCAGGAAGCTAAGTTAATTTCATTTTACCTGGATATTTCTCAAAGACTTATAAAACAATGCAGAGTTCTGAGTACTTTTGTCTATATTGACTTTAAACACCATTATTCTAAGGCTTCTCTGTTGATAGAGAAGAAGTGCCAACTACAGAGAGACACCAGTCTTCTGACTTCTGCTGGGTACTGAATGGCTAGATACAATAAATAAGTCTTGCATGTGGCAGGTTTTATGTGTTTTTCTAGTAATGGATCTCTGTAGTCATTATTATCCCTTTTACCAGTGTATGTCTCAGACTCCCGTAATATTTTAAATACAAACCTGTCAGCATTTTGCAAAACATTATCATATATTTATTTTGCTGACAAACATGTGAAAGAAACTGAACATATTATACTGATGAGATCACTTATATTGTGTGATATGTGTGCTGTGCATTGTATAAATATTTGAATTTCCAAGAAACTGCATGTCCTGGTTTCGACTGGGATAGAGTTAATTTTTTTCCTAGTAGCTGGTATAGTGCCGTGTTTTGGATTTAGGATGAGAATAATGTTGATAACACACTGATGTTTTAGTCGTTGCTAAGTAGTGCTTACGCTAGTCAAGGACTTTTCAGCTTCCATGCTCTGCCAGGTGCACAAGAAGCTGGGAGGGGGCGCAGCCAGGACAGCTGACCCAAACTGGCCAAAGGGGTATTCCATACCGTATGATGTCATGCTTAGTATATAAAGTAGGAGGCGTGGTCCGGGAAGCAGCGATCGCTGCTTGGGGACTGCCTGGGCGTCGGTTGGCGGGTGGTGAGCAATTGCATTGTGCATCACTTGCTTTGTATATTCTATTATTATTATTGCTACTATTTTACTTTATTTTATTTCAATTATTAAACTGTCTTTATCTCAACCCATGAGTTTTCTCACTTTCACTCTTCTGATTCTCTCCCCCATCCCACCAGAGGGGGGAAAGTGAGCAAGCGGCTGTGTGGTGTTTAGTTGCTGGCTAAGGCTAAACAATAACACTGCCACTGCAAGAAAGAGCAGTTCATTACTCAATTATCTTAAGGGTCTTTTCCAGCCTAAATGATTCTGTGATTACCTCTCTCGAGCCACCATATTTTAATTCATCTAATAATTTCTTACTGATTGAAGTTACATTCTTTAATACTTTGTAAGCCTGTATTAGCATTAGGTATATAACATAGTTAAGGAAATGCACTACTTAATGGAATTTTAGAATATTCAACTGGAACAATTACTTATTTCATTACTGCCTTTGTATTTATACAAATAGCTTGCTGTGCTGTGAGTTGGTAAACATGTAAGTTCAATTTAACAATTAAATTGTACATATAAGTACAATTTTAGTCAGCCATTTGTCTTTCTGTCTAAACTGATGAGAGAGATAAAAGTGAATTGCTCTACGGTGCAGACACCTGTGGATTAGCACTCTTTGACTAGTTGCCTAGAAGGGAGATGTGTGATACAGCAAGGGAGACAGAAATGCAGAGTCAGAAAAATACTTTATGGAAGATAAATCTAAATCTGTGTGTTTAAAAGAATTTGAAACAACACTTCAGTTTAAACTGTATGAATGTGTATTTTGGAAGTGAAATAATAGGTTTTTCAAAGGATTTTTTTCCTACCTTTTCTTCTCACTTAGCTTCTGGAATAGAAACTCCTTCAAAACACAAAAAGAGTTAAAGAAACTTAAAGAAAAGATATTTCAAAGCAAGACAACTCACATCCTGTTTTAAAAATGTCTTATCAAGATACTTATTGACAATTTCTTTGGTTTGGCTTGTTAATAGCTGTTACTGTGTAAGACATTGCAAGACATTGGCATTAAGAAGCCAAGATGTTGGCTTTACAAGAACTTATTTGCTGCATATTCTTTTATTCTTCAAAATAGAAATCCTCTGATGTTAGAAATGAAAACTTTCCACTTTCCTTGCAGTGAAAGTTTTTGGAAAACTTGGAAATACTGCAGTCACATTCTCAACTTTCCTGCCACATTCCATGCTAAACTCTAGGGATTGAGGTGACTTCCTTCTCACGGAGGAATGAATTCTTAAATTTCTTCTCTTACGTGGGTATGTGTTTGAACTGCTAGTGTATTTCTGCACCAGTTATGATTCAGATAAAAAGCAGGAGCTACTATATTCCACTGTCATATGGTACAAGTCTCTCTCCATTAATTCCAGTACTAATACTGTGCTTGAGATTTCATAGTACTTTGCATAATCCATTTAAACAATTCTAACTTAAAGTGAAGACACAATGAGATTAAAAGCTGTCAGAAACTCATTAAACTCTTAAAAAAATTTTAGAAAGAGTTCCATTTCAAAATTATGAGTAATATTGAAATTTGCCAGCACTTTCATTATTTGTTACAACAAAAATTTGAAATTTTAAGAAGTCTTTCGGCAATACTACATTAATGAAAAAGAGCAAACAGAGAATCTAAGATTTTTATAGCCAATAGCTTTTCAGATAATTTGAACATATAAATGTTTGCAGAATTGAAGACCAGTTGTAATATTTCTTTTCCTGGAGTAATTTAAGTATTTTCACTGTTCTAACCAAGGATGTTTAGACCTACGTAATGCATGTCTCTAGCAGAATGGTATTGCAATTATTTGATACTTCTCCAGTGAGGAGTCTCTCCAAGAATAATTGCTGTGTCAATTCCCTTATCCTGTTAGTTCAATAAAATGAAGGATTAAAAATTCATTTTTTCAGTAGGCAAAAATCATAAATGACATGAGACAAGACATTGATTTAAGTTTAACAGTTGTGAATTTGGCTTGTACATGTATCTTATTTAATGTCTCAAATTGCCTTTTAAATCACTTGTGTATATCAGCTATATTAAAACTGAAAACATCAGCGTTAATGGAAGTGTATCACAGTTACTATTGCAGCATGGTTATTGAAGAAAGCTATGATCAGCTGAAGTTCAGCTATATTTTACGATCCATTGGCCAGTATCTATCAAGTTCTTTGGATTATACTGCTTTATTCAATGCCTGTCAATAAAAGGGGGGGAAAAAAATCCCAGATCTTCCTCTCTTCTCTTAATATGTTTTATCATGGACTACTAAGTGTAAAGTTTATGATGACTGATTTAAAGCATGCACTGTACCCGTTTAGCTGAAGCAATGTTGAAGCCTTTTGCGAAGGAACTCCAAGAAATCTCAGAATTCCAGCAGCTAGAATTGATGAACAGAATCATGATCAGCTGGGAAGCAATCAGACACAGCACTTGGAATCCATTACAGATGTCCTTAGAGCAACGAAGTAATCAGCACCAGTATCTTGGTATTTAGCTGCTGATTAAAAGTAGTTTGTACTCTGAATATTATTTTCAGAAGCTTTTCTTGATTACGTAATCAAGAATAGGATATCTATTCCTGGTAACGCTAATATTGTGGTACATAATCAAGAATTTTAAGCAATACCTTACAGTGCAACTGTGTTACTGAAAATAATTTCTATAAACTTGATACTTACACCTAGATACACCATGATAATGAAAGACTTACTTCTGAAGACATTTGTGTGCATTAAGTTAGTGTACCATAACTTAG